TGATAGATAGTATGATAGATTAGACAGATAAATAATAGATGATAGATTGATAGATGATAGATAGACATAGATAATTGATGGATAATAGATGATAGATTAGACATAATAGATGATAATCAGATGATAGATAATAGATGATAGGTAGGCAGACAGATCTAGGCCGAGGCCCTCCCCATCTCTGCCAGCCTAAGGAGGGGAAGACCAGCTTAATGGCAGCTGCCTGCTCCGAGGCAGCTGGGTGGGGCTTCTCTTGGCAGCATGCCGGCAATCGCGCCCAGCCTCTCCAGCGAGCCTCCCCTCCCGGCCTCCTCACTCCTTCCTTGACCCCCATGTAAACTGGAAGGCTGCCAGCTGCCAATTCTTACCGTGGCTTCCTCCTCCCCCCCCTCCACCCGAAACCAAATCACAAGGAGGGCCGCGCACGTCTATGGAACGACTCCCAGCCCCAAAGGCCAAACCACCCGCTTTCCATTAAAAGCCCCCCCCCTCCCCTCCGTCCTTAAGGCATTTGTGCCGCTAAGGCTAGTCTGGCAGGGAGGAATTTGACCCCCAGACCCAACTGGGAGAGGCCTTGGCAGACCCCTCTCTGGGTCGAGAAAGTAGGCAAACCTTGAAATCTCTCCCTCTCCCCTTCCCTCCCCCTCCCTCTCTGTACCAAAAGTGGGTTTTTTATTTTGAAAAAGGCAATTGGGCTATTTTTGGGGCGGAAGTGGGGAAGAAAAAACCCAAAAGCTTCGCTTCCTATCCTGGAAGCTTCCTCGGTTCAGTTGTACTGGACGCTGCGGGAGATGGAAGGACAGTTGAGATTGCTTTCTTTTGCAGTCGGTTGTGCAATGTTTTGAGGCTCACAATCACAAGTCATTTTTTTTTCCCCCCAAGCACTGTTCTGTATTCTGAATTCTGTAGAAATTCTGTAGAGATTCTCAGTCATCCAGGTCACGGCTGTTCCAAAGTTGCTTGAGAATCTCTACAGACTTTTAGCTATGCACTTTGCGATGAACGCCCTTCAAATGGTGTGGGCGTCTAAACGCATTTCCAGAGAAATTGCAGACTACAGGAACCATTTGCACCACCATCTGTGCCCCAAGGTCACAGATAAACCTCCAAGTGATCCTCAACGACCCTCTAAAAAGGAAGCAAATGACCATCTGTCTGCAAGGAGCGTAAATCCTTCCATTCCCCACCATCCAGTCAGAGCTGAAGAAGCTTCTCGGATGAGAAGCAAAACATCTTCAAAAGAAAAAAACAAGGAAGTCCAATTGCCTCTTGAAAAAAAAAACCATAATTGGGACATTTTAGCTGATATATGACTCTAATTAGTTACCCAGTGGTAAGATGGAGGAGGCAATACATTTTATTTTTATAAATCGAATAATACACCCACACAGTCTGGGACTCCTCGGTGGATGTAATGTGTGAGGAGGGACTAGAAGGTTGTGGGAGGAAGCGGAGTAAAGGGTGAGGCCACGGAGGTGTCTGAGGTAGCTTTGCCCCAGGCCGCCTCGACTGCGCCCAATTTCTGGCTGCTCCTCTTTGCCCCCATGCTCCGTTTCTGAGCACCCAGCTGTTCTCGTCCCCACCTGTCATGTCTTCCAGGAGGCAGACCCGCAAATATTTCCTGCCTTTGTGTTAACATCAGCATGGCGAATCATGGCCCGCGGCGTGCAGAGAGAGAGAGAGAGAGAGAGACAGCCGGTCCTCGGCTTAAATGACCACAATTCAGACCAGGATTTACGTTGCTAAGTGAGAAATTTGCCCAGTGAGGTTTTGGGCTCATTTTACGACCATCCTTGCCGCACCTATTAAGGGAATCGCTGCGGTGGTTGGATTAGTAAGACGGTTGTGAAATGAATCCAGCTTTTCCCACTGGCTTGTCAGAAGGTCAGAATGTTAAGAGTTGAGAATAGAGCTGGAAGGGACCTTGGAGATCTTCTAGTCCATCCCCCCAAAGCAGGACAACTTATGCCAATTTAGATAAGTGGACTATCTAGACCCGTGATGGCACGCAGAGCCATTTGTGCCGGCACGTGAGCCATAGGCAAACTTACCTCACTGCGCATACGCGCGCCTCACAGCTGTTTTTCAGCTGGTTTGAGGCCTTTTTTGGCCTCCCGGAGGCTTGAATAATAGGCCCATTTTGTCACTTCCTGTAATGCCGGAAGTGACAAAACGGGCCTATTATTCGGCCTGCAAAGGCTTTTTTCAAGCCTCCGGGAGGCCGAAAAAAGGCCTCAAACCAGCTGAAAAACAGCTGTGAGGTGCAGTGCAGATAAGGGGATGGGGGGATTGCACGCACATGCGCAGGGGGCGGGAAGGGGCCACGTATTGCCTTCTGGGTGCTGGCATGTGATTTTTGGCCCAGGAGCCTAAAAAAAGGTTAGCCACCACTGGTCTAGACTCTTCTTCAAAAACATCTCGGGATGGAGGCACCCACAATTTCTGGAGGCTGCAAAAAGTAATCTCAGGACCTCGGGACCCTGCGGCCGTCATAAATACGAACCCGTTGCCAAGCATCCAAATGTAAATCACGTCACCGCAGGGATGCAGGCCACCATCACAAGTGTGAGAAATGGTCGTGAGTTCCTTTTCTCCAGCACCGTTGTAGCTTTGAACGGTCACTAAATGAACTATGGTCAGTCAAGGACTAGCTGCATTCTTTTTTTTTCGGGCTGCAAAAGTGAGTTTTCTCGCTTGCCTCATGGGCACCCCGTTTTTCTCGGGGCGCCTGGCTGAGATCCTCCTGCCCAACGGTGGGACTCAAAATGGTTTACTACCGGTTCTATGGGCGTGGCTTGGTGGGCGTGGCAGGGGAAAGGTTACTGCTACATCCCCCCCTTCCCTCCCCACCCCACTAACCTGCTTTCCAGCTCCGTTCTCCTGTGCAGGGCAACCAAAGGAGACCCAGCCGTTCAGCTGGGACTCAGTGGGAGGCGGAGAAGAGATGGGGGCGGGGCCAGTCAGAGGCGGGATTGGCCGATTCTGCAAACTACTCCCAATTTCCGCTACCGGTTCTCCAAGAACTGGTCGGAACCTGCTGAAGCCCCGCCTCTGCTTCCTGTCTGAGACCCGCCAATTCTTTCTCTTCCTCCCCCAGATTGTCGGAAATGGGAGCGAGCAGCAGCTGCAGAAGGAACTGGAAGACGTCCTAATGGATCCCCCTATGGAGGATCCCTCCCATGACCCGGAGGGGGAGGAAGAGAGCCCCTCCCAGGACGGAGAGGTGGATGAGCCGGTTCTCCTCGAGGCCTCTGCCTCCTCCACCATCAACCCCGTGTCCATGACGGGACCCTCCAAGCCAGAAATGAGGCTCCCGGTGAAGCCATCCCAGGGAGGTGAGCTCCCACCAAGACTAAGGAAGGCGGGAGGTGGAAGAGCCCCCACAGATGGAGTGATGACGTCCCGGGCTTTCTTCACAGTCTAGAATTGAGGAGTGGTGCGGAGGCCTAGAGGTGCAGCTCTCGCCTCACAATCAGGAGGCTGTGAGTTCGATCCTAGGTAGAGGCAGATATTTCCCTCTCTGGGCACACTGAGAATGTATATCTGCTGAACAAAACTCCGCATTGGCAACAGGGAAGGACATCCGGCCATTAAATACTCCGCTAGTTCCACTCAGTTGCCCAGACTCCATCCCGCAAGGGATTATGGGGTCATCCAAAGGTGAAGATGATAAAATACGTTTCTTTCCTTCCCTTTCTTTGCTGACTCACTCCTTCCTACCTTCCTTCCTTCCTTCCTTCCTTCCTTCCTTCCTTCCTTCCTTCCTTCCTTTCTTCCTGGCAGATTCGGAGGATTCCAGTCCCTTCACCCCAGTGGCTGACGAGGACAGCGTGGTCTTCAGCAAACTCACCTACTTGGGCTGCGCCTCTGTCAATGCCCCACGGAGCGAGGTGGAGGCCCTGCGGATGATGGCCATCCTGCGCAGCCAAGGCCAGACCTCTGTGGACGTGACGCTCTCTGTGCCAAACGTGTCCGAGGGCACCGTGAGGTTAGACCTTCTCCAAGACTTGGCTTTTCCAGCGGAGGTGCCTCGTGCGCCTCACGTTGATCCCTTCCGCTTTGCTGCCTTTATGCCAGGGACAAACCTCTGGAATGGTACCTTTAAGGTTGCTCTCTCTTTAGGAAGTGTCCTCCAACTTGGCAAGTTTAAGGCTTGTGGACTTCAACTCCCAGAATTCCTCAGCTAACATGATTGGAGTATGAATTCTGGGAGTTGAAGTCCACAAGTCATAAAGCTATCAAGTTTGAAGACCCTTGTTTTAAGGTCTTACGGCAGTCTTTCTCCACCTCAAACCTTCTCAAGGGGAATTCTGGGAGTCGAGGTCCATCTTAAACTTGGCAAGGTGGAGAAACACTTGAGACTCTAGCGCAAGGCTCTTCAGACTTGGCAAGTTTAAGGCTTGTGGACTTCAACTCCCAGAATTCCTGAGCTAAAAATGACTGGAGGAGGAGGAATTCTGGGAGTTGGAAGTCCACAAAGCTGTCAAGTTGGAAGATCTCTGCTCTTTAGGAAGAAAGAGCCAGGATGGCAGCCAGTCCTGATTTTCTTAAGCGGGGTCTCTACATGTCACGATTTTAGGGATATTTGGGGCTACACACAGCCAATTGCTTGTTTTAGCATGGCTTAGAATCTAGGGACATGGTGGCTCAGTGGCTAAGATGCTGAGCTTGTCAATCCGAAAGGTCGGCAGTGCAGCGGTTCGAATCCCTAGCGCCGCGTCATGGAGTCAGTTCCTGTTCTTGTCCCAGGTCTCCAAAGAGTCACCCCCTCAAACACGACAAAATAAATAAATATAAGAGTATGCATACAGCCACATATATGACACATGGAAACATCACAGTCTAGTTCGGATGTATACATATACGCGGCAAGAGAAACAAAGCTTGCAAATTTGCAAGACGGATGACCTAGGGAACCAAGCTATCACAGAATCTGGGAGTCCTGCTAGAAATACTTCGAAACCCCCTCCCAGAGGGGAGCTACAGTGAAATGGGGGTGTGGGGTCTCTAACAATGCTTCCAGCTCTAAGTACGTAGCGCTTATAAGCAGCATCCTGAATAACGGGGGAACGAACTTCCTATAATCTTCTCCATTGTCCTCACCACTCTCTGTAGGGACTTTCTGTCTTGAGGTGCTGCTGCCACCAAACCAAACGGGGGTACGCAGTTTGTTAAAACGCTCTCAGTTGCGCCTCTGTAAAAAGCGGCCAGGACGGATGCATCTCTGAAACCAGGGATCTCCAAGCTTGGCAACTTTAAGACTTCAACTCCCAGAATTCCCCAGTGAGTCCGCAAGCCTTCAGGTTGCCAAGTTTGGAGATCCCAGCCCTAGACTCATTCACGGTATGTGAAAACTTCTGTCCGGATGAAATGAACGAGTATAATTACGACGGCGGAGGTGCTGGGGAAGCTGGAAGAATTTGCAAAGCTGCCCATTGCTTGCTTGCTCTTATTCCCCTGCGTGGGGTTTGCCTCTCTCCCCCAGGTTGCTGGAGCCTCCAACGAACACCGAAATCGCCAACTATCCCATTTACAAGATCCTTTTCTGCGTGCGAGGTCACGATGGGACTCCGGAAAGCGACTGCTTCGCTTTCACGGAAAGCCATTACAACTCGGAGCTCTTCAGAATCCACGTCTTCCGATGTGAGATCCAGGAAGCTGTAAGTTCAACGGGTGGAGCTGGGGGAGGCCTAGGCAGCCCAGGCAGAAGACAGACCTCCCTCCCTTCCGTTGGGACGTGTGAGGTTGGACTTCCACCTTCTGCATCTTTATTCCTTCTCTTCTCTTCATTTCTCTTCCTCTTCTCTTC